TGTCTAATGACAGGTGGGATTCAGGGATTCAGGCCCGCCCCAGGGGGGCCCCAGCTGCTCACTGCAGCAGGAGCCAGCACTGAACGGGGAGGAAATGTGGGGTGCGAGGAGTCCTGGTGCTCAGGGAAGACTACAGTAGGCCTCCCAGAACCTGCAGGGCGAGAGTGTCTTCAAATAGAGTTTGAAGGACCCACAGCAGCAGGTGGGGTAGAGTCAAATGAATATATATATATATATATATGTTTTTTTTTTTTGTCTGGGGATTGAACTCAGGGGCACTCGACCACTAAGGCACATCCCCAGCCCTTTTTTTGTATTGTATTTAGAGACAGGATCTCACTGAGTTCCTTAGCGCCTCACTTTTGCTGAGGCTGGCTTTGAACTTTTGATCCTCCTGCCTCAGCCTCCTGAGCTGCTGGGATAATAGGTGTGAGCCACTGTGCCCTGAGAAATGAATAGTTTTGACCTTAATACATGGTTCCCATTTCTGTTCCTGGGTTAGTGTGATACACTTTCAGAATAGCTCTTATATCTAGAAATGTGATGTGTGGCCTCTTAATCTAATGGAAGAGACACCAAAATGATGTTAATTAAACAGTCACAAAAATAATGTAACTTCAAGGTGTGAGAAGGAAGGAGAAGTACCAGGTATCCTGCTGGTATAGAAAGCTGAATCTGTTCTGGCTCAGGAGTGAGAGAATAATAAGGAAAGGTTTTCCTGGGAAAGTAATGTTTACTTTGTTGGTGGGGATTGCAGAAAGCCTGAAGCAGATTCCCCCCCCCCCTTTCTTTTCTTTTTCTTTTGGTACCAGAGATTGAACCCAGGGGCGTTTAACAACTTAGCTATATCCCCAGCCCTTTTTATTTTTTTAATTTCCAGACAGGGTCTCTCGAAGTTGTGTAGGGCCCCTCTTAGTTGTACAGCCTGACCTTGAATTTTTGGTCCTCCTGCCTCAACCTCCCAAATCATTGGGTTTACAGGTGTGTGCCACCATGCCCAACCTGAAGCACATTTAATCAGGCCAAATAAATGACAAACTGGAGGAGGGGGAGTAGAACAATACTCATGGAGGCTGCTTCTCTGAGAGCGGAAGTGAGTGCCTGCAGGTCCCTCCTGCATAGTTGGTGAGCTGTTTTTCAAGGCATGTGGGCAGGGGATGTCCACATGTGGGCTCTAATTATGTCTCCAGACTCCAAGGTTGTATGATTTTAAGCAGATTTCATGTGCTTCCATTTTCTACCTCTCCTGGAGGACAGAGGGTGGAGCGGAGCCTGCCAGTTGATCTCCACAATGCAGATCTAAGAGCAGATTTTAAGAACAAATTTCGTCTTTTAACTTCTTAACTCCTGACAAGTGCTCACTCTTTCCTGTTGACGCTCCGGGTGGACCTCAGGAGAAGAGAGTTTATTTTGCTGTGGTGCGAGGTCTCATTGTTTTATTGAACACATTCTTTCATTTATTTACTCAACAGCTAGGGCAGGGGCTGAGCATTCAAAGGAGAATAAGATCCGTCACTGTTCCCTGTTTCCTCAGTCCACTGCCCATTTAGAACACGAAAAATGTAACTGAGTAATTTCAATACAGTGACAGAGCATTGCTAGAGAGATTTAGAAGGTGTTAAGAGAAAAAGCAAGGTCATCTGACATATATATATATATATATATATATATATATATATATATATATGAAGCAGAGTGGGTTATATATGGAGATAGATATGTAAATGGGTGGGTAGACCACTGTGGCTGTTTAATACATGGATGTGGCTGAATGTTTCTTTTTTAGGCAGGGGAGGGGGTTACTCAACCACTGAGCCACATCCCCAGCCCTATTTTTGTATTTTATTTAGGGTCTCACAGAGTTGCTTAGCACCATGCTTTTGCTGAGGCTGACTTTGCAATCCTCCTGCCTCAGCCTCCCAAGCCACTTATATGCCTGTGCTATTGTGCCTGGCTAGATTTGGCTGAATGGATGAAGGGTGTTGCTTTTATTCTAAATTCATATAGCTAGATGGCTGATTCCATGATGTCTATTTTGTTCTTTTATGTCATAAAAGTAGAAATTACTAAAGACTGTAATTGTTATGACTCTAAGTACAGGTAATGTACTCATTCTAAGTACAGGGACGTAGTCCAGGTAAACATGACCTGAGTGAGTGTGTACAGGGAGTGTGTCCAATGTGTGTACAGTACACACTCACTCAGGTCATGTTTACTTGTACTACCTCCCCACTAATTTTTCATCAGGTGATTTTTTTTCTACCATTAATCTTTCCTCCTGGAGACTAGAAAGACTGCTCTTGGCCCATTTTCATCTTCTTGTATTAAATCTTCGAAAGGAAATGAGTTCAATTTATATAACACAAGAGACAGATAGAAGACTGATCCTGGGGTAGAGAAATTCAATAAGAGTTTGTTCCCCGAAGATGGGAGTGCTTAAGGGGTGTGCTGTGAATTCAAGAAGTGATGCAGTCATTACTGAGCTGTGGAGATAGCAAGGGCCAGGGCTGGGAGTCTCTCTCTCTCTCTTAAATTTGCACTGAACACTTGCTATAGTAAAAAAAAAAAAAAAAATGGGATTGGAAGCCCTAAGTGCAAATCATCCACTGCAGAAGAAAAATGCTACTTTTAGGCTGCCCATTAAAACATTTACCCACTCCATATGCTCCTGCTCTTAGCAGGGAAAGAGGATTTGCCCAATGAAAACCGAGAGCACATTTCTGAAAAATTGTTTTCCATAAATCTTGCAAATTACTCTGCTCAAATATTCTAGGTTGGAGCCAGACCGACCTCTGGGGAGCTATCATCAGGGAAATAACCATGAACGGCAATCAGACCTTGCGCTCAGCTGACTGGCAACCCCAGCCCGTGACCTTTCTTCGAGGGAGGCATTCCTGTGGCCGCCTGAGTTGCCAGGAGCGCTGTAATTAATGGGGCACCCGAGAAGGGCTCTCTGTGAGCTGCTAACTGCTCCTCCTGGAGACACAGATTCCAACCACGGCCACCACCGTGTCAAGTTGCCACCACGGCTTGCTGACTGACACCCCAGGAGCGCTCTGCACTGTTCTTTATTTCCTCCATAGTGGCCCCGCTGGAGGGAGAGAGTCAGGTGACTGGGTCATACCTGCTGTTGAACTGTAGGCTGGGAGCCTACCCCTCCAAGTGGCGCAGGTGAGCCCTGCTCAAAGAGGCCAGCTGGGGAGGCAGGAGGAACCTGCAATCCAGCCCCTGCCACTTAACCGGTGTGTTTCTTTGCACACATCAGAAACCAACCAATATGACTCGGGAATTCTTTTTTCTTTTTCTTGGTTTCATACAGGGGATTGAATCCGGGGATGCTCTACCCCCGAGCTATATCCCCAGCCCTTTTATTTTGGACACAGGATTCTCCTGAATTGCTGAAGCTGGCCTTAAACTTGCCATCTTTCTGTCTCAGGCTCCAGAGTTGCTGGGATTACAGACATGTGCCACTGTGCCTGGCTCCAGATTTTTTTTTTTAATATTTTTTAGTTGTTGATGAACCTTTATTTATTCATATGTGGTGCCAAGAATCAAACCCAGTGCCTCACACAGGTTAGGCAAGTGCTCTTCCACTGAGCTACAACCCCAGTCCCAGAAATTTTAACCACATACCACCTTGACTTTCTAAACTAATAGTTTACTGGGTTTTCATATCCTGGAAACTGGCTAGATCATATACTAGCTAGTAGTCATTGAAGTCTTAGGACAATATTAAAGTTAGAACAAATCTTTTAAAACCCCACCTGAAATGTCATGTTAGGATATTGTCTGAGCTTGGTGTTTGCTGGAGAGAAATCATTCACTTCAGAACACCTTCAGTATAAGGGCCTGTCAGTAATAGATGCAATGGTTTATTTAAAGTGTCGGCGTTGCAGTTAATTTTGGGTTCACCCACAGGGCCTGACGGTTAACAGGTGAATTATGAGGATTCAGTGCTATAAGCAACATCACCTGGTGGTCAGGAGATGCTAATGTCTCTTCAGGGAAACCATGGAGGTCTAGTTCACCTGCTTAAAGGTTGCCAGGTAACTGTTGTTTAATATCAGCTCACATGATTCTGCAGAACCTGTCTTCTCCCACAGATGCTGTGTCCTTGGAAACGTGGGTTTTAGGAGCAGAGCTGTGGCCTCAGCCCTTTGCAGCCAAGGGGACTTTAGCATATCAGCTTCTGAGCTTCCACTGCTCATCTGTGCAGTGTTTCTTCCCGTGGTTGGCAGAATTTAATAGAACAGTAAAGTGTCTAACAAGGAGCCTGAACATCAGAGTTTCTCTCTCTCTCTCTCTTTTTCTTTTTTTCTGTCATGGTACTGGGAACTGAACCCAGGGATACTCTACCACTGAGCCATATCCCCAACCCTTTTTATTTTTTATTTTGAGATGGGATCTTGCTGAGTTGCTGAGGCTGGACTTGAACTTGCGATCCTCCTGCCTCAGGCTCCTGAGCGGCTAGGATTACAGGTGTGTGTCACTGCACCTGGCTCATCATAGGTTCTCCATACTAGTCCCTCAATCCCAATCTTGATGTCGTAATGATTTCCATATTTGTTTTCTGGGCTGCCGTAACAAAGGACCACAAACCAGGTGGCTTACAACAACAGAGATGTCCTCTCTCACTGCGCTGGAGGCTATAGTCCAAGAAGTCCTGCTTCCACGGAAGTGTGTGTGTGTGTGTGGGGGGGGAGGAGCTGCCCTGGCCTCTCTGCCTCTCCAGCCTCAGGTGGTCTTTGGCTGTCTTCCTTCTGTGCATTCACATTTTGTTCCCTTACTTTTCTAAAGTTGACTTTAGTTTTAAAAATTCTGGGATGTATTTGGTAAAAATTTCAAAATGATTGCAAGTCTCCAGAATAAAAATAATAACGATTCCTCAATTTTTTTTTCTATATAATTTTGTTTTGAGCATATTTCAAAATCTCAAAAAGTAGTAGAACACACAGCTTGGCATCGTGTACCATGTGCCAGCTTTAAGAGCTGCTTCTGGGGCTGGGACGTAGCTCAGTTGGTAGAGTGCTTGCCTTACATGCAAGAGGCCCTGGGTTCAATCCCCAGCAGCAAAAAAAAAAAAGGCCAGGGGAGGGGACTGCTTCTGAAAAAGCAGTGACACTGGATGTGAGGGTGATTGATCTGGCTGTGACATCTGTCACCCTATTGATATCCAGGCTTGGAAAAGCAGCAACACCAGTTTAAAATAGATTCCTAGTGGCACATGTCTATAATTCTAGCAACTCAGGAGGGTGAGGCAGGAGGATCACAAGTCACAGGCCAGCCTCAGCAACATAGTGAGACCCTTTCTCAAAAATGAAAAGGGGGGCTGGGGATGTGGCTCAGTGGTTAAGTGCCTCTGGGTTTGACACTCAGTACAAAAAAAAAAAAAAAAAAAGATTCCTCAACTATGCTCTTGTCACCATTTTAGCAAATTATTTAAAAACTTTTAAAATTTACTGTTTTACAGAATATACGTTCCTTTTCAATGCCTTTTTTTTTTTTTTTTTTGGTACTGGGGATTGGACTCAGGGGCACTCAACCACTGAGCCACACTCCCAGCCCTATTTTCTTTTCTTTTTTTTATTCTGCTATCTTTCCTATCCTCTACTATCCCCCCTCCCCCCAGCCCTATTTTGTATTTTTATTTAGAGACAGGGTCTCACTGAGTTGTTTAGTGCCTCGCTAAATTGCTGAGGCTGGCTCTGAACTCAAGATCCTCCTGTCTCAGCCTCCCTAGCTGCTGGGAATTACAGGCATGCACCACGTTGCTGGGCTGTTCAATGCCATTTTAAAGTTATTGTTCATTTAATATCCAACTGACTTGAGAAAAGGACTTTATGAGAGTCCTTTCTGTTTTGATTTCTACTATTTGAAAGATTACTAAAAGTTTTACAAACAATGGGGCATGAAAAATTAACACGTAATTCATAAATCATGTATTAATACAAATTATTAGGTTATGTTTTCAGTAAATAGAGGAAGTTTTGAGATGAGGTAAAGTGTATCCATTCATGTAGTTTGAATACTTCACTGGGAGGAAAAAAAAAAGATTCTGATGAAAAAAGAAAAGGAACTAAGTACAGTTTGAAAGGTCATTGAGAGTATTTCGAAACAATTCACACGTCACTAATCGGAATACCAAGATGGTTTAAACGATCTTATGGACAGCTCTGTAACACATTGATTTAGGGGCCAGCCGTTCTCCGTCTTTAACACTATCTTCACCATTAGCTTTATTTAAATACAATCGATTATGCAATATACACAGTACTATTCATGGAAGATAGAGACCTTTGTATTTATAAACTAAATCTTCTGCTCTTAAAACATTTGACATTGTGCCTTTTGTGTTAGGTGGCAGAAACATGGCTTCTCTGCTTACAGGTAAGAAGATGAGAGCCTGGTCATTCACTTACAGATAGGAGAACACAAAAAATATACTTTCATATTCAATTGATGGAAGTATTATTCATAGTTAACTCATCCTGGCCCCGCCCCCCCCCCCCCCCGCCCCGGTCATTTTTTGGTACTGAGGATGGAACCCAGGGCCTTACACATTCTAGGTAAGTGCTCTACCAGTGAACTACATCTCCAGCCCTGGTTGGTTGCTATCTCTTAGGGAAAGCAATTTGGCAATATCTATCAAAAACTGTCATGCAGCCTGCCAGTGGTGCACACCTGCCCCAGTGGATCCGGAGGCTGAGGCGGGAGGATCTCTAGTTCAAAGCCAGCCTTAGCAACTGTGAGGCACTAAGCAATTCATTGAGACCCTGTTTCTAAATAAAATATGAAATAAGCTAGGAATATGGCTCAGTGGTCGAGTGCATCTGAGTTTAATCCCTGATACCCCCTCCGCAAACAAAAAACAAAAAAACCTGTCATGTAACCCGGGTATAGTGGGTCATACCTGTAATCCCAGGGACTCAGGGCCAGCCTTGGCAACATAGTGAGACCCCGTCTGAAGATAAAATGGAAAGCACTGGGGATGTTGCTCAGTGGTGAAGAATCCCAGGGTTTTACCCCCAGTACCAGAAGCAAACAGACAAAAACCAAAAAACTGTCACGTACATATACACCAAATCAGCAACCAGTATGTGTAATGTCAGGGATATCTGTTGCATTGTTTGCATTAATGAAAACTTGGAAACTGCCAAATTGGGAAAGAGTTGCACTTTATCACACAGTGATAATCCTACATCTGCTAGGGTCACTGAGGTAGCACTAGATGATACGGATTGGGGGGTGTTTCTGATTTAAGGTTGAGCAAGTTTCAGAACAATGTTTAATATAAGCTAATACATGAAATAAAATGTAAAAATAACATTCACAACATCTCTACATATACATATGCATGCCTCACACAATGCAAGGCAAACCTCTACCACTGAGCTATATACCCTAGCCCTGTTTTATCTTTTCATTTTCAGAAAGGACCTCACTAAATTGCCCAGGCTGGCCTTGAACTTGCAATCCTCCTGCCTCAGCCTCCTGAGTAACTGGTATTACGGGAGCCCAGCACAAATACATTATCTGTAGCATAAATCATTAATTATAAAAGGAGAAATGTAATTCATATAATATAGAGATGCTTATTATTTTTCATAAACAGACATTAAGGTGCAGCCAAAGTATATAAAATTATTTAGGATCTTTATCTATCAGGCTGAAAAAAAAAGATTTTATTACAGGTAGGCGAATTGCTTTCTCATTGATGAAATGTTTATTTTCATTAAATGTCCAAGTAGCATAATTTACTACTTCTCACCCTGAAGCTGAGGTCCTGCTGGGCCTTCAACCTTGGCTGCTGAGAGGAATTTGAGTGTAAGTAGAACTCAAGTAAATGCAAGGCTCTCTTATCGGAAATTTGTTATTAAAAGGGAAACTTTTGCAGGGCATGGTGGTGTGTGCCTGTAATCCCAACACCTCTGGAGGCTGAGGCAGGAGGATCACAAGTTCATAGGCAGCCTCAGTAACTCAGCGAGGCCCTAAGCAACTTAGTAAGACCCTGTCTCAAAAAAAAAAAAAAAAAAAAAAAAAAAAAAAAAAAGGCTGGGGATGTGGCTAAGCAGTTCTAGGCTCAATCCCCAGTAACAAGAAAAAAAGGAGGCCTCTTTAAGGCTTTTCTAGTTTGATTGATTGAAGTCTGTTGGTGAGTATGATGGGTTATCATGGAATTTCAAACATCCGAGGTCCCTCTTTCCCTCCCTTCCTGCCTCCTTTTATTTGTCAACTCGACTTGGCTAAGGAATGGTCAGACAGCTGTTAGCAGAATATTTCTGGGTATTTCTGTGATGGTGTTTCCAGAAGAGACTAGAATTTGAGGGTTGGCCCTTACCAATGCGTCCAGTCTCTGGAGGGCGAAGGTGGAGGAAGGGCAGAGCTGAGGTTGGCCTGGGCTGGCACACCGTCTCCTCCCGCCCTCATACGCGATGCTCTGGGTTCTTAGGACTTTGGGTTTGGATTGAAACCATGCCTTTGGCTTTCATGGACCAGACTGTGGGACTTCCCTCTATAACCTTGTGAGCCAAGTCTCCGAGTCTCTGGATATCCCTGTGTGCACTTTATTGGTCTGTTTGGATAAAACGTCTCTTTTCTCTCTTTTGTCTCTTTTCAATGCTCTTGGTCTTGTGCTGGCCAGGAAGGAAGGGGGCAGGGCAGTCCAGGTGAAGCACCTTGAGGTCCAGGTACAAGGTCAGAGGCGGCCTCGCAGTGTACTTGGTATTCCCGAATACCTAGTACCCAGGTGCACCCTGGTGACCTGATCAATCTCTGCTTGGCCAGCCAGGAGGGCGGGGGAGGGAGCTGGGACCATGGGCGGGGACAGTGCCTGGCTGAAGGAAGAGACCATGGGTGGGCGTGTCCAGGTGGTCAGATTTTGAGACTCAGTGGGAGGAGGTGAATTGGAGCTGGCCAGGGCATCGGGAGACCGAGCAAAATGACACGCGGCGTGGGGGACTGCAGAGCCGCGATGCAGGCTGCCCGGGGCTTTGACAAAGGCTTAGGGACCACGGAAGGGAGGCCACCTGAGGCTGGACCAAGGTATCAGGACCTCAGCTGAACAGACTGGGTTTGGGAGGGAGGAGCTGGAGTATGTCTGGGTAAATGGAGGGAGGGCCCATCTAGGTGTCTGCTCTTCTGAGCACAGAAGGCAGAAGGCACTGGGCCACTGAGACAGAGGCGTGGATGTCCAAGAGTGTGACGAGCATGCCAGACGCCGGGCAGCGGAAAGGAATGCCTCTGGTCTGGAGTGCAGCCCAGTGGTAGGGCACATGGTCAGCGTGAAGCTGAGATATATATAATATAATATAATATAAGCTTAATATATAAATATAAAATATATGTATACATTTTAAAAAATACAAGAATGACACAGTTGCTCTTAGCAGGGACGAGGGTCATGGTTGAGAAAGGCTGGGAGAGTGGGAGAGGCAGGGGCACAGCGGTGCACACCTGTAATCCTAGCGGCTTGGGAGGCTGAGGCAGGAGGATCTCGAGTTCACAGCTAGCCTCAGCAACTTAGCAAGACCCTAAGCAACTTGGTGAGACCCTGTCTCTAAATTAAAAAAAAAAAAAGGGCTGGGGCTGTGAGCGCCCCGGGGTTCAATCTCTGGTACCCAAACCAAACCAAACCAAACAAACCAACCAACAAACAAAAAAAACTTATAAGAAATGTTGGGAGAGACATGCTTCTTGCCGGGGGTCTTCTCCAAGGCAGAGACCAAACACATTTTTCTGCCAGAAACCCCATGCCTATGTCCATTTCCTACAAAGATCACTTTTTTGAGAAAAATTTAAAATAGCCATTTCCAATGGCTTCTCTAAAAGATGCCCTGGTTCCTCAGAAACGAGAGGTCTCTGTCTCTTTGGAGTGTCACAGAACTCCTTCCTGATGAATAGTCAGGCAGTTTGAATGATCCTTTTGTACCAAAGAGTTAAATCCTCACTTTCTTAGGGCAGGTGGCTCGCAGCTTGTAACGTCAAGTTACCTCTTATGTTTCTTGGTAGGTTACAAGCTCCCAGTAACAGGGAGACAGCCCATCCTGCACTCTGCGGAGTGTGTTGCTCTCTA